CAAATTGGATTTATGGAGCTTTAACAATGCTGACCCATGAATTTTGATAAATATACTTCTACTATTAATAAAGGCACTCAGCTGCTCAACCATTGAGGGAGGTATAAAAGCTTTCTGGATGAGCAGCTGCAATGCACATTTTGCTGTATTGCTTTCCATAAATCCATAGCTGGGATCCTCCTGGGCATGTGCAAAGGTCTCTGGAGAGCACAGAGCTGGCACAGTCTGCTCCCCTGTCTCTATCTGGTCCCAGTACAAGGAGTAAAAAAGCAGCACTGGTTGGAAACCACTATACTTTAACTATCTCCAGTTAGATCCTTATTGAGTTGTATCTACCCGGTAGCTTATTGCTGACTTGAAGTCACTGTGACAGGGGATCCAGGAAGGAGAAGTACAATGTCCCAGGAATACAGACCAAAAATCTGCTGCTGGACTTGCACTCTTTTGATGGAAGTCAGATGATTCTCCATCACCGCAGGAGACCGGGAAAAGGATATTTGATGTAGTCCATAGAGCTTTGCAGCTCTCAGAGTTACTCACAAATGAAAAAATAGAAGGTCAATCCTTTCGGTGTAGATAAAGAAGGTGGCATGGGCAGGGAAATGTGATCTCAAACAGAGGAGGCTGAACATAAACTGGCTATTACAGCTCAGGACAAAGATGCTGGAGTCCTCACCGATGGTTCACCAAAATTGTAGCCTTGATGTGCAGCAAAAAAAAAAAGCCAGAAACATGTGGTGATGTCATCAGGAAGGGCTTGGTCTCACAAAACAAGAAAAAGAGCATCTCTTGCCTGCTGTGCAGCAGCTTGGTGCACCCACATCTGTGCAGATCTGGCCTCTGATCATAGAATCATAGGATCGTTTGGGTTGGAAGGGACTTTTCAAGGTCATCTAGTCCACCCCCTCTGCCATGGGCAGGGACATCTTCCACTAGACTAGGTTGCTCAGAGCCCCATGCAACCTGGTCTCGAGTGTTTCCAGGGATGGGGCAGCCACAACCTCTCTGAGTAACTGTGCCAGTGTTTTACCACTCTCATTGTCAAAAACTCCTTCCTTATGTCTAATCTAAATTAACCCTCTTCTAGTTTTAAATCATCACCCCTTGTCCTATCACAACAGGACACCTAAGGATGTAAGAACATAGTGGGCTTAGAGCCCAGAGCAGAGCAACTGACATGATCAAGGAGATGGGAGTGCTGCAGTATGAGGTGTCCTAAGGAGGATATTTCCCTGGGGAAGGGGGAGCAGAAAGGGGCAGTTCTACAGAACCATGAAGTGAATGTGTACCTGGTGCACATCAGATGCTACACTCAAGAGTCAGAGGCCATCGATCAGTCTGGTAGATTGGTTCAAAATGGACAAAAAGGACTTTATATGGGGCAGGAGGGAGAATGAACTTCTGGAACTCACTGCCACAGGAGGTTGTGCAAACAAATAGGATCAGCAGGTTTATAAAAGGTATAGCAAATTCATGAGCAGAAGGTCAACAGACACATGCTGAAGGCAACAGGCAGGAATGTAGTACCCTCTGGAATTTCTATTACTGCTGGTGTGGGAGATGGAGGAGCAGAACCAAACTGATTAGGCTCTTGTGCCCTCCCTAGATGACATCTCCTGTTGATGAAAACAACAGGAAAACAACACTGGGAGAGTGGAAGCTCTGCTGTTACCAGCAGCACGTTGCCTATGATCTCAGTCTCACCATCCCTAAGTAAATTCAGATCTTCCCAGGTGGTTGCTGTGTGGTAGGAAGACGGGGCAACCAGCAGGAAGAAAACTTTTGCATTTCTATTCAATTTCCATCTCTGTAGTGAAAATCTCATCAATCATCATTTACTGCCTTCTACCACTTCTCCTTTTCCCACTGGAAAAACAGCCAGTGGAGGAGGTGGGAGGATCCTAAAAGGTTTGAATTAAAGCATATTTCAATCATGCCTTTATTTTCAGACTGCTTGCCTGAAAAAATCTCCTTTACCTCAAAACCTGATTGAAGTCACCTCCTAACAGCCAGTATTGTAGGAAGAGGTGGAGGGGGAAGGGGTCACAGAAACAAGACCATAGCATCTCTTATCATTAGCAGGGTAAAAGGAGGAAACCAAGGAACTTCAAATCACAAAAAACCAGTGGGACATTTAATCGAAGAAAGAGATGAGTAAGTTATGGCCATTGCCAAGAATGAATCATTTCAGATGAGTCTGTTTTCCTTCTGTGACAGATTCCAGTCCTTCATTTAACATTATTATGCACTGTTCTTTCATCAATAACTTGTGCTGCAATGGAGAATGTGCTTATTAAGTTCTCAGATGTTTCTGGGCTGGAGGGGCTGCAAACACCCCAGAGCACTGGCTTAAAACCCAGAAGGATCCAGACAAATCAGAGACATTGGTTCATGAGTCTGTTTTCCTTCTGTGACAGATTCCAGTCCTTCATTTAACATTATTATGCACTGTTCTTTCATCAATAACTTGTGCTGCAATGGAGAATGTGCTTATTAAGTTCTCAGATGTTTCTGGGCTGGAGGGGCTGCAAACACCCCAGAGCACTGGCTTAAAACCCAGAAGGATCCAGACAAATCAGAGACATTGGTTCATGAGGGGAAATCTTCAGGAAAGTAGAGTGACTGTCCAAACACGTGGCAAACAAACTGCAGACGCAGCAGTTTGTCAGCACAAGACCCACTAGCTGTACCACTCATGAGTTACACCATTGCCATATTGACTTTCAATATGGCATGTATAAACAGAAAAACAGTTTGTAAAACACATGATGTTTCTCTTCCTCTTTCCAGAAAGAGGATCTCTCAACTGGTCTCCTGAGATCAGCTTCCAGTAAGGAATGAATTCTCTATCTTCCCACTGCTTGTTTGCTAGATCGAAATTTAGCAGAGAAGCACTAGGAAGATACAAAATTCATGGAGAATTCCTGGTAAACTCCCCTAGGATGCTTCACCTCCTCCAGGAGTATGTACTTCTGTGTCCCTTTCCAGGACATGCTCTCTAGGGCTATGACTATTTATCCAACACAAATAAGAGTAGTATCCAAGTTACCTGGACAGTGCTATTTGCAGCCCCTCAAGAGACCAGTAAAAGTGTTGTGATCAGGTAACTCATAACCATCAAGCTCATTTTCTGATGTCATTTTAGCTCCTCTTTCAATAAAAATGAGTCCTGAGATGTCACTTGACGTGGTGACATCATATAACAAAACACTGTGCTGTTCTGGGGGTGTCTTTGAACACAGGTGCTTCTTCCATCACAAATAAATGTGGATGAGAGCTGAGAAAGGAGAGGATGGAGGCACCAAAACAGGCACATCTTCCCAGCAGCCTTCTCCTCCCTGCCTGCAGGCTCCAGCCCTGCAGGCAGGACCAGGGCTTGGCCCTCACTCCCTCTGCCTGGCCCTGATAAAGCACCACGGCTTGAGGTCCCCATCTTGTGGCAGCAGGGACAAATGGCTCGGACAACACGAGCTCAGCAGTTCTTTGGCCAGGCAGAGCCCTGGGACAGTGCTGCAGAGCCAAGACACCACCCACTGCCACCCAACATGTCCTGCCTGAGGACACAGCATGGCTTGGGAACTGTTGGAAGTGAAAGCCAAGTTGGGGACAACTCCAAGTCCATACCATCACCACGTTGCTCTTACACCTTGACTCATGCACCCACCACGCCCAGGACCATAAGGGTCCTTAGTGGCCAGGTTTGGAGGAGCCCAGGTTTGTGCTAGATTTGATGCTGGCTCTTCCAAGTGCTTTACACACTAGTCTACAGTGCCTTGCACACGTGTGTGCCCTGAGCCTCTACCACAGCGCCGATCTCCCCAAGATCCCCAGGTAGCACAGACTGTGGAGCTGTTGCCTACAGCTCCATCTGGGTGATGTTGGCTGGAAGGGTGGAACCTGCTCCAGCATCCACTCCAACCAGAGGTTGGCCAGTCATGCTTTCTCCTCCCTCCTCCCTTCCTCCCTTACCGTGCCCGGGGTGGTGGGTATGTGGGGTCATGATGCCTGGGGTGTTCTGTAGGAAAAACTCTGGGGCCTGGAGTAGTCATTGGAATCTCTCCTATCTTTGAGTCACTGACAGTGACTGGAGGCCATGGGGCTAGGGCAAGAGTCCATCCTTACAAGTGCCAGGGATGAAAGAGGCCCATGGCAACCTTGGTTGGGCTCCATGACTTGCCCCAGGGCTTTCTTGAACCATTCCCCACCCTGGACCAACCATGTCCCAGTTCTGGCAAGACATGGAGCAGCCTTATTCAGCACCTGGCAGGTTGCTATGGGACTATCTTCTGCCCTGTGTCCCACCACACCCACAGCTGGAGGAGAGCACATGCTCTCTTTATCAGCCCCCCACAGCAGCTGCCCTGCTGCAGGCTGTGATAAGGCCTGGGGGCTCTGCAGACAACCAGCACCACTCCACTGCCTGGGCTCCTTTTCCTGCCCTGACACCCCCACCCAGCTGGATCTGCAGCTGAGTCACATCTGCTCCCCTTGCAGTGCCCCAGGACCCCCTCAAAGTGACACCCCACCAGTTAGGTGAAGACAAGCCCTACACTGCTGCACCCCCTGTGTGCTGGGGGTACACAGAAGGGTGCCCTGGCACTGGGAGGTTCTCCAAGGCACCCTTGTTGTACCACCACGCAGAGGGTCACAGGTGCTGAGAGCTCCTGTACCCCAGTGTCTCCTGCAAACATTTCCAGGAGGAGATGCTCTCCGACAATTCATCCTAACAAGAGGAGCAGGTGGTGCAAGAGGGGATCCCAGCGTGGGGCTCTGGACAGGCTGGGGCTGCAGGGACCCCCAGATCCTCTGTGAGTCTTTCCCCTTCACCAGTGCTCTGCTTGCTCCTGGAGCCACACACCACCCTCCAAATGCTGCCTCCTCTCAGGAACAGCAAAACCAGAGCCTGTTTCCTCCATGTGCCCACCTGGTGTGGAGGACCCCCAGTTCAGACCCCTGGAGCAGATCCCTCCTCCCCGCAGGCAGCAACAAGACGCCAGGGCTGGAGCACAAATGCAAGAGATTTTATTTCAGAACATTTGTCTGCTCACTGTTGGAGGGCTGGTGGGTGTTGGGTCCAGCTCTAGCCACGGTACACGACTTAACGGTACTTGGCAGTCAGCACGGTGCCCACAGCACACAGGAACTTGTCCAGGGAAGCATGGACCTCCGGGGTCAGGGCAGCAGGGATGCGGGTGGCCACCACCACCAGGAAGCATTGGCCCAGCAGCTGAAAGGCAAAAGGAGACGATGAGCAAGGGGGGAAGGTGAAGGGGTGCCCAAGAGTTGCAAGAGGGGAGCTGGGCTGGTCTCCCAGATGCTCACTTTGAAGTTGACAGGGTCCACACGGAGTTTCTGGGCGTGGAGGTCGCTGAGCTTGGAAAGGGCACCAGCGATGTCATCAATGTGGTTCACAGCTTCGACCAGTGCAGCTGCCACCTTCTTGCCATGACCCTTGATCTGAGCTGAGCCGTGGGACAGGTCGAAGTGGGGGAAGTAGGTCTTGGTCTGGGGGTAGGTGGCAAACATCCTGGGGGACAGAGCAGGGATGGGTGAGACAGGGTCAGGGTCACACAGGCTGTGGATGGGGAGAGGATGGCAGATGGGAAGGGGCTGAGGAGAGGGACGAACTGACAAGCAAGGTAGTAAGAGCTCATTCTGTATATGAAAGTGGCCGCCGATTTTGGCGAAGATGCCCTTGACGTTGGTCTTGTCGTTGGCAGACAGCACCATGGTGTCACCTCCGCTTTGGCAGTCCTCAGCACGGG